GCTTGCCCTTTTCGCTAGAGCAGCTAGATTTTTTAAAATTCAATACATTGAATATTGGGTACAGTATTGGGTTGACTGAAAAATAACTCGTTTTGGCACAAAAATCTCCATGTAAACTTTCCTAGTTGTTTTTTATCCATGATTCAGTGTGGGGAAGTAGCAGCTTCTTCTAACATATATGAACTATTCAGGTTTCCAATCATCAATAAGGCGCTTATTGCTAAATTTCCAAAAACTTGATTCTGCGACTTTCCAGGCTTCGTGTCCTTGTTTTGATAGATGTACAGAATAGTTTTTGTATTTGGATACAGACACGTTTTTCCCACTTAGCGAATAACAACAAAATTCTTTGACCAAAAACCAAATTTTCTCATATTTGCGCACAGCGAGGAAGCTGGGATTTTTAACTTGAGGATTTCTTTCGTTGGGATTTTATTCCTATTCAAAGAGATTTACATTCCAATTCGCAATGAAGTGCTCTTTCCAGAGATACCGAATACTGGAAAAAAATGTCTGCAGTGTTTGTAGTAGCCGCAAAAGCGACTGAAATATTTATTAGCCAACCTAATGATTGCCAATGTTCTGAACCTGTTATGCTCATACCTCAAAAATAAGGCATTTTCTCATTTTAAAAACTGAGTGGGGCTCGTGCCAAACCATTATCCACCGCTAACTACAATAAACTCTTGAAGATAAGTCCGTTTCTTCAACCTAAACAAGCCCTTTAGATATGTCCTCCCGACAGATACGTCCTCTTTCCTCTGCAGACGGACTTATCTTCTGAGAGGCCCTATGTATCTGTGAGATTTCAGGGTAATGTGATTCATTTTCAATCTAGAAATCCAGATCTAAACTCTCACCTGAATCGTACTCCATAAAATCCGAGGACACTGATTGGACCATTTGTAGAAATTACTCGGTTCAAGTTTACAGTTGAATCTCTCCGCCGCAAATGAGTGTTAGTGCCACCAAATGTTGTTGTTTTTTTTTGAATTTAAGACCATACAATTACTATCCACATGAGAAGTCCAGGTTCTTAGATTTGTTTGGATACTTTTCTTGAGCATCACTCGCTACATGTCAGGGAAGGTACCAAAAAAAAATTTTTTTTTGGGTAGCAATGCCGTTAGCAGAACGTTTTCGTGGGAAATGACGATCCTTCAATGTTGCAATTCTGGAAGCAAAAGGTGTGAATGGCATTTCTCATGTTTTAGCTCTTCCCCTGTGTTTCAAATTTCCAGTAATATTTCGTTCTGCGGCTCTAAGAGTATTGAGTTTTCTAGAAGTTTCATATGCCACAGAAAGAATGAATTCATTTATGAGATATGGCAAGTCGCGAACTTTCATTAAATGATGTGAAAACAGTTTGGCGAATATCAATTTTCTGGCGGATTTTTCTTTTGTTCTCGAGTAATTAGAAAGAGAAAGCAAGATATATGTTTTTCCAAGACTCAACCCTTTACGCGCAGTTTTCCTATAAGCCATTAGCTACAAAAAATCCTCAGAAACTATCTAAAATTACGATAGCTTTATTTATCTGTTTATGTAGTACACACGAAGATGTGACAAAAGAAAAATCTGTATACAATACAAGGTGTATGTACATATGTGACAAACTATCACAAAACTCCCAATCAAAAATAAATCAATGTCTGAAATACACTCGAAATAAGTCTGGCATAATCCTTCCCTAGTCTCTATTTGCCTTACTTCGCCGATTTACTCTTGCTTAACATCTATTAGGTATTTGCTAAATCCTTTGTTTCACAGATTGAATCGTTTGTTAAACCCAGTCAAACTTCTTCTCTCCTAAAATGGGCTACTAGCTGGTCATTGCATTTCTAGATCGCATCGGTACAAGGGTGAAAAACATCGAGGAGTCCTTTGAATTTTTGTTTGTGCGAGGTAAACTAACAAAGCTAGAAAAGAAAGTAAAAAAAAGAAAAGTAATGAAAATCAAACATAAGAGGACAGAATATGTAGTAATGCCTAGGTTCTCTAGACCCAATTACTCATCTTGTTTAAAACTTTCTCATATTAATTTTTGTCTAAATGAATGTTGCTTTGATCGTTGCATCTGCTTTCGCTTTACATCATGCTGCTAAACCCACGCATTTTTCTCTGTGCAGAAAATTTCGTGTGAACCTCGATAGCGTCTATCAGGCATCTGTTTGAGACAGTCCAGTTGGTCCAGAAATTCGGTGCCGGGGGTTAGGGTTTAGCAGCAGGTCCATTCGGGGAGGTCACTAGCGCAACCTGATGCCCATCGCGTCGCAGGGGGGCACTGTTTACCACTTAACAAATTAGGTGTCAATCGCGTCGCGCTCACCGACGATGGACTGCGAACACGTGCGCAATATCGTTGACATGTTCGACATGAGCTGAGTAGATCGCCGGAAACCAAAAAGTAGGAGTTTACGAGAGCTCTTGGCGCTTTTGCGCGGAAAAATTGGCTATGGAGCGCAAAAACTCGAAGGTGTGCGCGCAATGGCTATTCCTTACGCGCAAGTGCTGTCTCCCAGTGCAACTACTTTAATCGTCAATTTTACTATACTATAACTGCCAAGATGTCCCTGTAATTCTTCATAATTCCATTTTAAGGTCCCGTTAACACTTCTTGAAGAACACATGTCAAATGACCAACATTTGCATCCTCTCCGCTGGGGGCGATCGTTCTCCGAGTGTGTTCGAAGATACGCATACACGTGCTGAAATTCGAAATCTCATGGGATTTTGGGGTCGGTGCACTTCTGGATAACGCTAACGAACAGAAAAATGAAACATTATCACAGCTGCAACCTCGCACTTCAGCAGTTTGAACTTTAATCTGCAGCAGAAATATACCAACAAAGAAATAAGGAGCTTCCAGAAATACAATGAAAGCAAAGTTGCGCTTTTTCTGGTTTCATTTTCAAAGTCTTTGTAATTTCTTATTTTGAAAAATCTTGATGTTGAGAGTCAGAAAGGATTTTATCAAGCTACTAAATTTCTCAATAATAGAAAATAAACCCAACTTTTTAGGCTGGCCCAATAAGCGCTTATAAAATAATATTGACATCATGGTGTGTCAAACCTATGAGATTGTATTACATCATTAAAGATTTTATTCAACACGCAAATTTTTTTCGAGCACAGCAAAATTTTCTAATTTGTTTATTCGGTTTGTTAACGTTTCTTTAGTGCACATTAAGAAGTTAAATAAACTCCAGCTTTTAAAAAAATTTGAACAATGAGGGAAAACACTACCCTTGTACAGTTTTGAAAGTTTTTCACGTCTTTTTTTTTCAGCATTCTTTTTGAATGAAGAATAAAAACTTAGTCTTTCTATAATTTAAGTTTTCAGCATTTTTGAAATTTCTACCAATTGCTTCTAGGAAGACATGCAGAATTACTTCACTCTTTTGAAGTTCACATTCCTGGTCTTTTTGAAATTTCCAATTTCCAATTTCCAAAGGCTCTAAATGAAGGATGAGCAAAAATATATCACCCATCAGTATTTGGGACATTTCTTACACTTCAAGGCTTTGCAATAAAAATAAGCGAAGTTACTCTGCTTTGTAATTTCATTATGTCTACCTCCTCCTAATCAGTCAAAATTGACATTTATTTGGTAAATGCTACCGATTCGTTCCTTTGCATATTCTTGTTCTCTTTAAGAAAAAGCTAGTAAAATATCTCCAAGACAACCGTTACTGCTGTTCTTGTCGAGATATTCGAACGCTAGTCGTACATGATGAACGGCTGCTCGTTTTAACGTAGATTTCAAAAGCATAAGATGTTGTAGTGCATTTTCTCCGACTAATAGTGGTCATTATGAATCGGTTGTGTACGATGAACTTCGGAACAAGCGTGTGCTACCAATTACGTTTTTTAGTTTTTAAGTCGAGGGTAGAAACAGTGATATCTCAAAATTTTGCCTACTGAGGAAACATCGTTTATCCACAGGTTTCGATCGCTATTTGCAAATTGGGCAGGAATGCATCCATTTTTCAGACTTTTTGAAAATCCGCTCCAAGCATCCGTTCTAAACAAATGGCCAAGCTTGGAGGATTATACAAGCTTTACATTAATCACTGTTGGGCGAAACATTCTTCACAACTTGAGGGGGGCAGCCCAATTTTTCTGTATACTTCGAATTTCCGTAAAAACATAAATAAGGTTTCAGGATAGAATCAAAAACATGAAAAGTGGGAATTAAGCTTGTGTCTTGGGTATTACTTTTCTAATTATCTGCTACGCTTAAAGTAGGTATGGCTTACCATTGAGCAAGAAGGAAAAGAAAAACAGAAAAAAGAAAAAAAATTAGCAGAAACGCGATGGTGATTTTTGACAATCTAGTTACCAAAAGTCTATAGTACAATCATGTACACCTCAGAACCACTGACGTACCCAGGACTTCCGCTCGGGAAGGGGATAAAAAATTTCTTGTGATGAAGGTATGTGGCTCATGGGCTCCGAAAAAAATCTTTGGTGTATTTCCCGAAATTTTTGTGGGCCCATAATTCCGTACCAGAACAAAATACATGGCGTGAACCACGTCTCTGAAAAAATTTCTTAAGGCGAATTGAATGTTCAAAAATTTTGAAAATTAGTTCAATTGTTTGCAAGTATAAACAAGTCACTTGCACATTTTTACGACTTAAGTAACTTCCAAAAATTTCTCGACCCACTTTTGGGCCCTCTCCCTCGGTACGCCGCTGCTCAAATCCAGCCAAACACCGGGAACACACAATTATTTTGTGTTAGAGTTGCGGAAGAAAGAATTCATTAGATAACAATAATAATAATTGAATAAGGCTATTAACCTACAACTAGCTCAACATATCTACTTTGATAGTGCTGTTGCTTTTGGGCAGGAACTGCTCCATCAAAAAATTGATGAAAATTTCTAACCTACCCTGTGTTCCTATTTTTCTTGTACGCTGTGTATTTGCTTGTATCTTGGAATTCGTGACTAAGTTTACCGTAAACTCCTCCAGATTCAGCCTAAAGTTCAGATTTTGCAGGATACCGTCTAAATTACCGAGTTTGCCGTTGGAGGTATGGGCGGTCGCGGTGCCGGCGGTGGCGGCGTCGTTTCGCACCTCGGTTTCGCGGTCACGCCCACGTTGGCTCCGTCGGCGCTTTCATCGATGCCAATCGCCGGCAGACGCGGATCATCAGTCCGACAGTCCGATAAATCCACACCCGATCGTCCAGCGGTCGACAATTCCAAACAAGAATCGTTAGACGATCGTGCATCGTCGAAGCTCACGCTTGACGATGAACTCTTTGACATCCTCTACGCGTTTGGGTGAGTTCGCAATTGACATTGCTATTTTTGTTTGATTTTTGCTCCATGAAGGTTTGGGCATACTGTAGCAGATCTCATTTTTGCACACTCTAATGATCACGTATATCTCACTTTGGATTTTCTAAACTATAAAAAGTGATGATTACTGGATTATTGAGGTCGTTTTTGCTGGCAAGCGAGGAAGGCATGGGTACAAACTACTGAGTTATAAATTCCTGGCAGAGTCTGCTTGAACAAAATCTATTGCTTGGAACTTTTATTAGTATCAAACTAGACCTGAATTGACAATGATTTTACCGTGTGTTTGCCTCCTTTTCTTTTCAGTATCGTAATAACTTAGCTGTACATTTTTTTGATTTTTGTGGCACTTCTCAAAGCGTAAAGGATGAATAAATAAATAAGTGATAAGAAAAATTTGCCATAACTGCGTACCCCTATGAAAGTTTTTATAAAAGCTCAGTGTTCTTCTCTTAGTGAAACGCTCTTTGCTACCGTAATCCATCACAAACCTAATTACTTATGCATGCTTTTTCTACTGCTTTTTACCAACATACGAAAGTCTGAAAACCCCTCTGCTAGCTGAAGATAATGTGAATTCAGTTCATTATGTTTGTACAAATATCCCGCGAAATGAAAAAGAGCTCGGTGGTCACTCTATTACCTTTTCTGCTGCTTACAGTAAGTTGAACCATAGGTAGCGACTAATTTTTTGGTACTAATAATTTTTCAAAAATGCGCCATACCTTTCTCATTGGTTTATATACATATGGTGTAAATTCTTCGATGTAGAAATTGCCTTTGATATACAAGTTTACATTGAAATTTTAGCAAGTACGTAATTGAAATTACTGTATTATAGTGCATCCGTATAATGTGAGGTTTGTCCAGTTGTGTAGAAACCGTTTATGGCTTATATAAAAAAAAATTTAAATTTATTAAGAATCTGGCTGTGATTAAGTTTACCACCAATTAATTTTGTGTTTGGAAATTTCACTCTATCAGTATAAACCAATTTATATGGTATGATATCATTCTGTTATCAATCAAATTCGCTTTTAGCTACATTGAAATTCATTCTTCTACTCATGTATCAACAGTTCTAATTTGTACATATTTTTGTTTCAAGTTTGTGCAAACAAGTTCCGACTTTCTACTAACCCTTTTTGCAATGAAAACCTTTGTACTATGAATCGCGCTTGGTATAGCGAACAAATTCATTTCCACAATCCTTCTTTCTTCTATCCCAGATTACTGGTGCATTCTATCTAGCTCTTTCCTGTGCTTCTTATTCTCTTCTTCATGCAAAAGTCATTTCTCCAATCCTCCTCTGAGGCACATCACATGGACTTACATTACGAAGTTGAAAAAGTAACATGAGTCGGGCTGAGCGGGAAAATCGCTAAGGGACGACCTTTAACATCAACTGTCATGTTTCTTACATAGAAATGTTAGCTTCACGAACGCGCTTTTGCGATGAACGGAACAGGAACAGCACATTTCGAGCTGGTGACTGAAAAGGCAAGAGGACTAGGGGTCTTGTGAAGATAATTGGAGATTATGTGAAAGGGAACATTCGGAAATTCGATTTTTTAGAAAAACATAGAAATGAGCCAAGAGTAGTAACCAAAAATAAAAAAGAACAGAATGAAAATAACCCAGAATTTTTTTTCCTGTGGTCGAGTTTAGTTTTTGGAAATTTCTGTTCGGTCAATACTTTGCTAAATTTTTACTTGAATCCCTTGCTTTTTTTCTCCAGCACAACGCTAACAAAATTAGTGAAGGCCGCTCTCAGTACTATTATAGTCTTAAATTTGCTATTAAGTGTTATAGCGTGTATAGTTGAGTAAACTTCTTCAATACTGTGTGCAACTGCACATTTTCCAAAATAAGCCTGGCTGCGTTAACTAACGCTTTTATATTTGGTCTTTTCCTAATTCATTCGCCTAGGTAAAACTGTGCAGAAGAGAGTTGTCTAATCATTTGTTATTTTCTAACTAATAGAGCGACCTTCACCATGTTGCCAACATTTTTGAAAGTGTTTACTTGCACAAACCTACAGTCAAAAGAAAAAATAATCAAGTGGAATATCAAAATTTTACTGTTAAAGCTCTCATACCTGCTGTTATTCCGACTTTCTGGGAATAAGTATCTAGGGCGAAGTAGCAAGACAAACTCAATAGTATACGACAGCAAGAAAAAAAATCTCCAGTTTATGAAAAGAAATATCTCCAGTTCATGCATGCTCGGAAAACACTAAATGAAGCTAGGAATAAGCTAAAAGACAGATTTTCGTAGTTGTGGAAACTCTAAATGAAATCAGCACAGTATGTTTGATAAAGATAAATTCAATCTTCAATGTAATAAATAAAAACTAATGAAGGGTTACTGTTAAGTCTGTGTCGCCTCTACCCTCACATAAGTAAAAACCGCTCCCGAGGCTCTTCAGGTAGGGAATAGTGATCAATTATGAATTTAACGAACTGTTCAACATTTTTGAATGAGTGAAGTTCTATATGTATGAGATAATTTTTGGATGTGAAGCATTTGATAAAAGCATTAGTAATTACATTTGGTGTGTAGTCTAAATTCTTGAGTTGTTTAAAAAGCATTAATAATCTATGTAGAAGATTTTCAAAATTAGTACAGGTTCTATAATCCATCCTATTTCCTGTTTTTGTCTAACAAGTTTACTTTGCTTTTGTCAACATATCTCACACCGACAGACGTTCGTCACGCTTGGCCAGATATTGTTACCTGTGATGATTCAGGATTCTCTGTCATCACAAGCACTTATGTTGCCCAGTAACGTGGCACCTTGTCGTCCGATCACACATTCTGACAAAATTACGACTTTGTTTATCTACTAGCCACCAGCTCTCTTGTTAAAAGCACACCTGTTAAACAGATTGATTTTGCGGTAACCTCATACTGCGATTTTTCGCGCTAATCCGCGTTTCGTCACCCCTTCCCGCATGACCAATTCCAACGAGGATGTCACTAGACTAACTCCAGTCCTATCGCTTCATGAACTTCTGTAAGATTTCTTTTTCTCTTTTTCAAAGCATCTCATGATGTAATTTATTTTGTCGAAGAGGTCATTCCTCATAGAGAATATTTGATTTATTGCACCTTGACATGGGCGGCGGAGGGTTGGGTGGGTACTTTCAATGGGGATTTGGAACAAATTGTATCTCCTGGAAATCAACATATAGATAATCCATAATGAACAGGGAATAGCAAAACCGGTTATTTTATTATACCATCGACAGAAAATGAAAGTATTGTACTCCTCAAAATTATTACAATCGTCTCAACTGGAATAACCCATTTGCTGCCTATAAAACGCGAAATTCTACAATGAAACTTCAAAAATCTCAGTCTACGTCGCTTCTGTTCCTAATTGCCCCTAGAACAAAGGGCATTTGATCAGCAGTTTCTTGCTCAATGATCGTAATTCATTCTGCTTGCTCTAAAGTCTCAGTTCACGTCTTAACCTTGCATTCACTATTCAGCCAAATTTTTATCGAAAAAAATCAGCAAAAAAAGAGAGTTTGGCGTCTTCGTAATTATCATGGCAGCATGAACAACTTGAGCGCATCTTAAAATTCAGAATGATAATGCATAAATGAATAAAATTTTCTGTATGAATGGATTAAATCTTCAAAGTTCAAAATTATTACTGTAAATGCCATAATTTTTCTGAAATACGCATTCTCGATCTTTTGAGACATTTCCTTGAATGAGCACGAATCTGTAGTTCCTTAATTATTGTAAGTTCTCTCACGTTTATTTTTTTCTATCTTCAACAGGAAGGTAGCAAAATCTGAATAGAATTACAGTTTGCTTAGCCCAAAATCATAAGCACAGATTTCGAGAAAAGCAGGGTATGACCATGTTAACTTCAAAAGAACCCACTCAGAGGTTTCTTAGCACAACGTGAAACATGTTAATTTATTTGTCTAGTTTATGTACTTATTCAATTTTTCGTTTACACCCGAAAATGTACAAAAAATAAAGGAAGCGATCGAATAAGAAAAAAGAATCTCAATCGTTTTAGTACTAGTAATAATGGAAAAAGATTGTAAGATCAGGTGCAAGCTCGAGGTACCGTTTTGTAGAGCTGGCTTCAACTTAGATGTGTAGTATAGAACGAATCACCCATCTTTCTTCATTACTGTAGGATTACGGTAAAAACTTCAAAAAGGGTTTTGAGCAATGAAAGGCCATGTTTTGCCTTCAGAAAGGAAACACAGCCTGAAAACTTTTACAATAGGCCAATTAGAGTTGCTGATTCTAACTGTAAAGTTCCCAACTTATTATGATGATTCATTGAAGAGTTATGCCGGGTAAGAGGTAGCGGCCATTATTTCAATGTTCCTAAAAAGTGCGGTTACACCGTTTAGAAAGCTTTGTAATTTTGTGAATAGTTGAGTACTGAACTCGCGTCCATAAAAACCCTATTACACAAGTTTTTACATTTCTTGAAAAATTTTGAAACGGCAGCTTTTTCCATATTGACACCATATGTTTCAACTTTCTTCCGTAATCCTACCGTAATGAAGAGAGATGGGTAATTCGCTTTATACTGCAAATCTAAGTTGAAGCCAGCTCTACAAAGTGGTACCTGAAGCAAGGCAAAACATGGGAAAAGAGATATTAACGATCAAACAGTGCATATATACTTTTGGGACACCCTGTATTTACTGGTAGTGTCTGCTCGAGCAGAACCTTAATACTTGTAATTTCCATTATTATCAGAGTGGACCTGAACTGACAGGATTTTGTTGTATATTTACTTTGTCTTTCTTTGAGATTTGGCTATCTCAACTGCACTTCTGATGTTGATTTTTGTAGCACGCTTTAGAGCATAAGAAATTGATAAGTAAAAAAATAAATAAATGAATAGATAAATATCATTTTCTCTTGATCGGCTGCAAAATAACTCTCTTAAGAATGATCAAACTTCTTGCAATAAGTATTCAAGATTCTGATGGCTATCC